ATATTTACCAATACCCGTTATATTTCAAAACTCATGGCTTTGTTTTTACTGAAAAAGGCAAACTGAGAAACAAATATGAGAGAACAATTATTTTCTGTGTAATAGCTGGTGCTTCTGTGACAACTACACAATGGAGCTTCTGGAGACCCAACTAATAAACTAACCTGCTCTCTTTGTTGTCTTGTTGCATAGCACTGATGCCGTCTTCGACTTCTTGCATAAAAGTAGAATATCCAGAAGATGAGAAACAGGACTATGACAACTATTATTATTCTGGAAAAGAAAAAGACATTGAGTTATTAAATAAAACTGAACACTGCTTTCTTCAACTTAGGAACATTAGTTTACACACAAATTTCTGCTAATGCCAGTGGGTATTCATGTTGAGTTTGTTTGAACAGAGTATTGCATAACTGGAATACTTTTTCCCAAACAGGGCAAAGTCTACTTTGAGGTCACATGACATCTAACTAAAAAGAGTATCCAAAGGAACATGAAGAGAAGAGGTGAGAAACGAGTAGGTGCCAGGGCAGGAGAAATCGCCTTCATTTACCAAAATAACAAAAGAAATGAATCAATAACATTGGCGAGCAAATAATCGTTATATATATTTGGAAAATTGATGGAAAAGGTTACATGTGTTTGGAAAATCAAGCTTTCTCGACCATGAACCTTTGACAATGATTCATGCAGACTCCATGTCACTACTGACGATTGAATTCAGAAGTATTTGTCGATGTTCGGCTTTCCCTGGACAAATCCATTGGTGAATTTTTAATGGTATGTAAAAAATAAGTGCTCTGATATGGCTTAGGCGCTATAATGACGATTTCGGATTGTAACTAATTCAAATCTACAAGGTTTGTTTTGAGTATTCCAGATAAACTACACACTTGAAATCTGTTTCATTCAAGCACGTGTCTTGTGACATACAAATCAGCTAAGAAATGGTATCTAATGACCATGTGCATCAGCTGACTGTGTTCCTTTAATGCTTTCTGGAAATTTTTATGGCTAGGAAATTCAGCATTGGATTTTTGGAGGGGGTTAAATTTTGGTCCAGGAATTTTTTCGGGTTTTGTTTGAAGCCCTAGGGATTTTTTTGTGTTTTGATTTTTGCCCCCATTGGATCATCCCTGTTAACTGAAATCCAGGGTATCCCCACTGGGATGTTTAGTTTACTGCAAAATTCCGAAAATAAGCCCCTCCATGTATAAGCCCCTCCAAATATAAGCCCCCCTATCCAGTAATGCAAAAAACCCTCCGTTAATTTGCCCCTCCAAAATAATATAAGCCCCCGGGCGGGCTTGTACTTGGAAAATTGCCCTCAAATACAAAATAAAACAAAGCAAAAACGGCAAAATTTACTTCCAACTATAAGGCCAGCCCAATCGATTTTGAAACGCAAATTTACTGAGGATGCACTCTAGGGATTCTGGATTTTAAAAGAAATATGGACAAGATTAGGTCTGATTAATTTGCAAATTTTCTACAAAAATAACCTGTATCTTCATAGAAAAGTCACGAAAAGAGGAAAATCATTTGGCCTCAAATGAAGTCCACCCTGACAAACACCTATATTGACCATGGTTGTTTAACCATTTACACGGGTTAAAACCGGTTGGTTCACTGTTTCAAGGGCAAATGGTAAACAAAATTCAGGACTGGTAAATTTAGCCCCAGAATAGCGTTTACCATTTGTACAAATCAGTTCCATTCAACAAAAAATGGCCGCAAAGGCCTAAAACTGGTGTCAAACATGGCTTTGGAGAAATGGAACACGAATTTCTGTTTGGAACATTCCATCGGGAAATACAGGACTATCTTTTTGATGTTTCGTCGCTCCTCAAAATTTTCTGCTGGAATGGTCCAAAAAGTAATGTTCTATTTACTTTCTGACTGGATTTCCCCAAAACTTTTTGCAAAACATTTTTTTTTATTTTATCCAACACTGAAAGTGAAAGCTCTAACATGTAAATAAGGCACTATTTTTAAAATACAGTCAAACCTCCTGTAAGTGCAACCTGAGTTGGTCGCTTAAGAGAATATTGACAAACAGGAGGACTCTTCAGAGAAAAGGTCCCGACACATCTAAGTTTTGGAAGATAATTTATAAGGCCCTGTTAGGATAAAATTCCGACAAGCGACACAGCATTGAAACAGCAACATAGGCAGTGTTTTCAATAAGAGCCGGCAGCCAGTGAAATTCGCCAGCTATTTCACGTGAACTGGCCACCTACTTTTCTTCGAAATTATCCCAGTTTTTTCAAAAAGCATGTGAAACATTCGTTGCAAAACGCAAACCTTGGATCGGCAAATAGTCTTGCCTTAATTCTGAGTAGCTTTTATCGTTCAATCATCAAAGCCAAACACTCTACTGAGCAGCCTTGCATTTCTCCAAAACTGTAGGGTCTGGAAGCCAAAGCAGCACAACACGTGCACAAATTTCCACACGTTTTCTCAATGTACGGCAAGGTCAAGCAGAGTTTATGACATGTCCATGACAAGGAAAACACAAAGTCCTCTGCTTGACTCAAAGAGACGGGTAAAAACAACAGAGTATTCATGACCTGCTGCTGAATAAAAAAGCCAAAATTTTATGATGCCTGTGTTCTCTTCAAACACTCTAATTTTTACTCCAGAATGCTGGAAATGTATTCTAACAGCAAGAGGTGAAAAATGATAGAAAATAATCAAACTGCCAGGCCAAAGAGTGAACGAGTTCACTTATGAAGGTTCTGCTATAGGGATTTGACTGGGCAATTTTGGTGTTTTGGATAGGTGGTTGCTAATGGGAAGTGGTCACAGATGAGAGCTGACAGAGGTGGTTGCAAATGGAGGTTTGACTGTAAATGACCTATAAAAATCTCAGGATTAAGAGAGAGGGGTAACATTTTAGTAAGTTTGCCCAATTGGCGACTCTCTGGACTGGCTGAAAAAAAAAGACTGATAGTATAAAATCAACAGTATCAATATAAGGGCATAATGCACTTACACGTAAAACAGTAAATCCATGCTCGCTCCAACTCAAAGAGATCTCTCAGTTTCTCAGTGTTCTAAATGGCAAAAACATACAGCAACTCGTTCATGATAGAAAACATTGCGTACTTAATCTGATCTTCGGAGATCGAGTACTTGCGATTCAGCAAATAGGTAGAACAGTGGGAGAGCACTGGGTTTATTCGGTGGTTTATTGGAGCAGATTATAGAATGTGTTGACGACATTGATGAGAATTCACCGCAATGAACTCTTCAAAACAAAAACCTAGGTGTCGAGTACAATTACAGGAAGTAGAAAGCATGTAAAATTGTGCAAAGCCTTAATCTGATCGTGATATTTAGAGTGCTTAGTGATTCTTAAACGTTGAATGTTATTTACAGGCCAATGAATCTTTGTACCAAAAGACATGTTAAGACAAGAATAGTGTCGTCTAAAAAACGCGATAAAGAACAGGATATTGTGGATGAAGAATTAAAGAGAAAAGGAATTCCTTTAATGAAAAGGTTTAGGAAGGAAACTGAAAACAAATACTCATAACATCTTCGAATTGCATAAAACATAAGCCTAAGTTTACCTAAATGCAATCATGCGTAAGAAGCCATATTGTCGCCGCTAATTTCAATCGATTTACTAAAAGGGAAGTTTCACTTTTGACTTGCAGTAAAATCAGAACAAACAACTTACCTTCTGAAATGTCATCGATCTCGAAATTGTCACATTCTAGAGAAAAACAAAGGTAAAAATCCTTTAAAATTTCAACCATTAACGCCCGTGAAGCATGGAGAACGCTGAAGTGAAAGTCAATGGGTGAATTCCCCCTACCCCAGAGGAAGATAATGTAGTGCTACTTGGCCCTCTCCCCTCCGTAGTGCTTATAACTTTTCTCCTCTCTCCAGACCTCTCCAGCCTCCCTTGCCGACAAAACAAAACTAACTTCGCGTCGAGGACTTTGTACGTCTTTGGAAGAAGCAGTAAAACTCATCCTTTACGGCAGGAAGGTTGAAAAATGAATACAGATGCAGGGTAAAAGTTATATATGCAAGATTTGAATGTATAGCAAGCAGAAAATGATCGATAAACATCACTAATTAAATTCCAAATACACTTTACCATTTGATTCTGATTTATTTTATTTGCTTTTTCGATCTTCTTTGACGAACTATTAAAGGCCCGGTTCCCCAGAGGCCTCACTCACATATTTTAATGACGGGGGGGGGTCCGACAGAGGTTCATATTTTATACCCAAAAAAATCCCAACTTCAGAATCTGTCTACCCAAAAAAATCCCTACTTTTTTTAGCATACCCAAAAAAATTCCTCAGTGTTTTTGCATCAGCAAATTTGATTATTTAACTTCTGGAAAGCTAGAACATGCCTGACTTCAACTTTGGTTTTGGTCAAAAACAAAACTATAAATTGCGCTTACGTTATTTTTGATTTGAGCTGATGAAAAATACAATACCCAAAAAAGTCCCTCTGTTGTTTTCGCGACCCAAAAAATCCCGGCGTCTTTCATAGACCGAAAAAATCCCTTTTGGCCGAAATGTCAGACCCAAAAAAATCCTTTGGACCCCCCCGTCATTAAAATATGTGAGTGGGGCCCCTGGGCCCGGTTCAGACGCCGATCTTTTCATGAGCCGAACCTAATTCGAATTAAGGCCGACCCAAATTATTTAGACCGCCTGAAAAGGTGTGCGAAAAGGTGTCCTCCGCCATTGAACTATCTAAGGGGTTACAAGTCTTTCTTTGTTATTTTTTTTCTTTTATTTGTTTGTTTTTTCGCATAGTGGCTAGATTAGACCTGCTATTTGCGGCTAGAGCAGTTTCGTAATTATTTTACTTCTTAAAGTCTTGAAATTTGAATAACCTTGGGGCGAGGCCGAGGGGCGGACGAAGCCCATCCTAACGCCCGTGACTCGAGTTCCGGCACGTTTCCCTCGTGAATAACTTATGACATTTCGAAGAAGAAATAAAGTATATAACCTATTACAACGAACGTTCTCCAGTTATGTTCTTTAATCAAGATCACAGCGTGGATATGCATTACAGGGTAGAATAACAGCGTAATAACATGATATACAAGTACAAGTCTTCACCAACCTTTCATAACCCTCTTATCCCTAGACCAAACTTTTGCGAAATTATCCGTCAATCTAACTGTTAAATCTGTGAACGAAATCCTATGGTGTTACCATTCACATGAAATCTCTTTGATAGACCTTTTGCATGGTTCACTATTTCTTCGGATTGTACAAAGAGAAATTTGAATTTTAAATTGTGATATTTTTCTTTGGCCACCGTTAGAGGCGAGAGGGTTAAAGTTCGGTTAAGGTAAAATTCACAAACGCGGGAAAGGGTAGCATGCGGTGCAGTAACCTGTGTACAGACCCCGCCTCCCCTCCCCTCAGTAAAAAATAGATTTTTACTGAGGGGAGTGGGGGTTTGTACCCAGGCTAGCGGTGCAGACACACGCAAAACTACCTCACTCAAAACCTGGATACTGTTAATTATAAACAGACTATGAATACCGGCGGTATTGACGGTCTTTGACGCGGCGGGCTAGGAAATTTAGTAACAATACAGCCATTTTACTACAAAAAAAAGGAATTCAAATACTGAACGAGCTGTTGACTAGTTTCGTATGTACACAAATACTTCAAGCATGACGTGGAAAGTGTGGTTGACGCGTGAAGAGAAAATACAGTGGACATGCGTCCCACTATAAAAGACTTCTAGCACATGGGGGATTGGCAGTGGCTGTTATTAGCCAATCAGATATTGAATGTATGGATCACATGAGATTGTCGTCGCTAAAATGAAGGTTACTAAGCAACAAGTTATCAGAGAACTGTGGGCTCATGCTAGACTTAGTTTTATGGAAGGCTTCATCTTACTGCAACACTCTAAGAGTTACTTATTTAACAAATAATAGAAAAAAAGCACTGAGGCGCGTGTTCTGCGGGATCAAATTCTACTTTCTGGCAGACCATTGAGGTTTTAGGGGAGAATGAAGGAGACCCTACCCATCGCCGCTAGGAAAGAAGGCACAGCTTAAGGAGACTCTGAGGCAAAACTCGCTTTTAAGACATGCAGCCCACCAGTGACCTCTGATTAAGTGGCCGTTGTTGTTTTTAAAATCTGTGATCCAGTCTGCGAGCAAACTCTAAATCTGTACTGATTTCTTCAATAAAGAACAACAGATCGATGCTCAGATTTAACCAAAAACAACGGAAACACAGAGGGGGATTTGCCTGTGGTATTATAGGCAGTGTCATCTAGAATCCCAAATGAGCGTCTTATTTTGTTTCATAGCTTCAAAGGAACTGTGCTAAACTAATGAAAGAACACCTCGTAGAGCCGGATATAGGACTGGCATGATCGCAGACTGTTACAGCTAAGTTAACTAATGAATCAAGCTTTGAGCTGCTTCTACTCTTTAAGCTTTTTGTAAGACTTGAATATCGTTCAGTCGTTTCCAGTTATCGAACAACTTGAACAATTTCCGCAACTCTATCTCCACATCAGCTTAATACACACAATTTAAAAACATGTTTTTTTAAACCTTTAGACATGGCCTTCAAGACTGGTCTGTTGAAAAATGGAGGAAAAAACGACAAAGTCCACTGATGAAGCAATCTTTCCACAAAACTTATTTACTTTGCGAGACCCCACTTCAACCCACCCCTGCTAATTAACGACTGTTAACCGGAAGTTTCCTCAGTAGTTTCCTGTTTCTTTGCCGCGGGTTCTCCGTCATCTTCCACTTCCTGTTCCCCAGTGCCCTCCTCGTGTTTCCTTTTCCGTGATTCACTCTCAGTAGTTTCGTCTGCAGCCTCAGCGGCTTCTGTTGGCTCGGATTCCATTTCTTCCGGTTTTTCCTCTTCGGTTTTCTCTTGTTCAGCCTTTTCTTGTTCTTCTTGTTCTTCTTTCTCTTGCTCGGCCTTTGCTTGCTCTTCCTTCTCTTGCTCGGCCTTCGCTTGCTCTTCTCTCTCCTTTTCCGCTTTCGCTTTCTCTTCTCTTTCACGTTCTCTCTCTTTTCGTTCAGCTTCCCGTTCAGCTCTCTCCTTCTCTCTCCTTTCAGCCTCCTCTTTCTTCCTCTTTTCCTCTTCCGGGTCAATCTTAACAAAGACGAATGCCAAATACATTCCTGGCAAAAAAGAAAACCAATTTACTATGTGACTTTAAATTTTCTCCCTTACGTAAGGAATCCGGATTCCGAAATCTTGTGGAAAACGAATCCGGGAAATTTTCTTGTGTAATTAGGAATCCTGGGCTTTGGAATCTGGAATACAGCTCAAGGAATACGGATCCCACTAACGATTGCAATCCGTAATCCAAGTTCCACTGACAAAGAATCCGGCCAGAATCTAGAACATGGAATACGGAAACCGGAATCCACCGCGTGGCATCCAGAGTCCAAGAATGTCTCGGATTCCCTTTCGTTCACCAAAGTGTAACAGAAGAAAACAACAAATTAGTGTCAATCTTGACCTAAAATGAACAAAAGCTTACAAGACGCAACCGCCTCAGAGATGGCCACAATTTAAATGATACATTGCAAAGGATACACATTAAAATTCGGGCAAAAAATTTGCTTTAACAAAGCTTGTGTGGCACTTACCAATAGCCTCCCACTCAGATTTGGACATTGTTCCCTGTAATATAACAAGATAAAAATCAGTCATAGCCTAAGAACGTTAAATAAATAGTCTTTGCTTCGTAATACAGTCAATGACAAGCTGCCCGCCTAGTAGAGATTTTGGAAACAAATAGCACCGGGTGAAAGTACAGCCAAAGATGTCTCATTTGAATGGTAATACCATAGGATTTCATCCACACACTCAAAAGTTAGAACTAGATACTCGATAAATAGTACCATGTGAAAGTACTGCTGAAGAGGTCTCATTTGAATGGAAACACCATAGGATTTCATCCGCACACTCAAAAGTTAGAACTACATACTAAATAAATAGTACCATGTGAAAGTACTGCTGAAGAGGTTTCATTTGAATGGTAACACCATAGGATTTCATCCGCACACTCAAAAGTTAAAACTATACACTCAATAAATAGTCTCCTATTTTTCTTTTGAGTCACGGTGATCACTTTTTCGCCCGTCGCGCGAAGCTCTGAGGAAAGAAGGACGACCGCTTGCGGTGTAACAGAGTATACTAGTCCAACTTGGAATCCTCATATCACAAAGGGTGTTGCGACCGTGGAATCGGTTCAAAGGTGAGCAGCAAGATTGTGTATAACGACTATCAGAGATCCACAAGTGTGTCTTCCTTAATTAAAAAAAACTTATCTGGTCATCACTGCAAGAACGAAGAACACTGACTGATCTTTCACTTTTTTATACGATCCAATATAATTTAGTCGCTTTGCCCTCTTCTAGTAAGTTACCTCTTAACACCTCCTGTACCAGGAGAAAGTTCCGTAGTATGACATACATAGAGGATATTACACGATGGCGCGAAGATATGAATTTTATTTTCGAGTGGCAAAACAATATTTTACGAACGAGCGCAGCGAGTGAGTAAAATAATGTTTTTGCCACGAGAAAATAAAATTCATATCTTCAAGCCGCCGTGTAATGTCCTTTTTATTATATAGACAAAATTACATCGATAAAATAATAGAGGGAAATTACCACAATTACGTCATCGATAAACTCACGTGTGAGATTGTGGAAAATAATCCACTCGGGTGCCGGATGTAGTTTTTATGAATTTTACGAGTGGTATATTTTCCAGTAAAACACTCGTGTCTATATAATAAAACCTTTTATCCGCTTTTGTTGATGCCTACAAGTACTCTTTTCTTGCCCGATGTATACCTGTGTGGAACACACTGTGGAACAGGCTTCATCTACTGCCGTTTTCGCTCCGTCTTTGCCCTTGTTTAAGTCCACAGCCAAAACCTATCTGTTGTCACCTACTGCCTAATTATGCCACCTATTGCCACTATTAGCGTGTGCTATTGACAATTAACTGATTGAAGATAAAGATTTAGGCCAGCGTAAATCCCTTCTGACAAAAGACATCAAATAGCCAGGAACCAAGACGCGAGACGTTTGTAGTTTCGATCTGACGTTAGATTTTAAGCATTTGGCCCCAGATCAGTACTTACAACATGTTTGAGGTTCTTTTCTCTGTGATCTCGGTACTTGCTGGTTGAAGAGGATTTCTCTTGATTCAGCTGAATACCTTCTAAAAAGTCTTTTGCGTGAGTGTATGCATCTTCAGCAGTCGAAACCAAGCTTTCTCCCTCTTGTCGAGGGGGGTATGTCTTAAAAAGACAAAAAAAAAAATTCAGAAATAAGATACGGATTACGGATCCCTTATCTTGAGTCATACTACTCAATTACAAAAAGACATTTTCTTTGGTGACTTGTTATTGATACAATGTTTATCTTCTGTTGACTGATAATCAACCAACAAAATCCATTTTACAAAGATTTAAGCTTAACAACTACCTCTAGCGCTTTCATTTTGTAGAGCAAGGAAGTTGATTCACTTGACTTCTCTCGGAAAAAGTCGTGGAAAGTCTTTGTATATAAAAGCTTCATGTCATATTTTTCGGCCATTCTGAAAAAGAAAGAGATTGTTTGGTGAACTTTCTTAGTTCAAGCAAACAGTAACAAAGGATCACATGGTAGAGACTACAGATTGAAACGCTGGTTGTTAACCATTTACAAAACATTTCCAGAAAATCTTGTTAGAAAGTAAATGGAACACGATTTTTTGGGTCATTCCAGCAGAAAATGTCTGGGAGCAACAACTGAAAAGCTAGTCCTGTTTTTCAGGACGGAATGTTCCAGAACGGAAATTCGTGTTCCATTTCTTCAAAGCCATCTTTGATACATGTAGCACCAGCTTTAGGACTTTGAGGCCACTTTTTGGTGGATGGAACTGATTTGTGTAAATGCTAAACACATTTCTGGGATAAAATTTGCCAGTCCTGAATTTTTCATACAGTTAACCCTTTAAGTGCCAACAGTGACCAAGATAAATTTTCTCCTAACAATATCCATACACTGTCAACAGATAAGTTATGAGAATTAATAAAGTGATCACGCAAGAAAAAAATACCTTGATCTTTTATCAAATTCTCTCAACTCATTCTTTCAGGAAATGTATGGAGATCAGTTTGGAGAACTTGTATGTGGATACTGGGGCTTAAAGGGTGAACCCAAACTGGGAACCGACCAATTTGCCTAAGTAAATGGTAAACAACCACTGACCATCACAGACGAGCTGCTACACCTTCAGCGTACAACAAAAAGCTACAAATCTACACGAGACTTATTGCATTAAGGTATGGTGAAATGGGCTACGAAAATATGGAACTTGTTCTGCAACATTTCTGCAAAAAGAGTTGACCGGCGATGTTAGGCATTCTACCACCCGCGTTCAAACCTGTCTGGCAACAAATCAGGTTGTTGTTGCAGGTTACAAAAAGTTGTTGCAGAAAGTAGAGAGTAGTTCTACTTTTTCAACAAAATCTGAACATGTTGCACATTTTACCGGCCCAAGGCAAACTCGTTTTGCACCAATTAACGTAACTTCTGTGTATAGTGCAACTCCTCCATAATTTTATCCAATCAGAAGTTTGTATTTACGCAGCATGCAAAACCTGATTTGCCGCAAGAATGGTTTGAACGTGGGTGGTAAAGCACACAACATCGCTTTTCAACTTGTCTTGCAGCAATTTTTCGAAACAAGTAGCTTTACTACTTCTTAACACTTACTTTTCAAGCAAAGGGAAGTACACCAGGAACTCTGGACAATCGACAACTCCTTCCAGATGAAACTCGTACTTACAGCCATATAAAGGATATTCTCCTTTTTTCTCAAAAGTCACTTTATAGACATCATTACCAAAGGACATATCTTCAGACTTTTCTAATCGACGACTGAAAAGAAGAATAAATTATTCAAAATACTGATCTACATTAAAAACCATTGCTGAAAAAATGTACAGAATAGAGTAAAGACCATTGCTGTCTAAATGTTTTTACAATAACATTGACAGTTTTTAACATTCATTCCCACTGGAAAAAATAAATTGATGAATCACCATCACGACATCATTTTCAATAACAAATCACCTTCAGCACATCATTTTTATGGTCTATACTCCAACAGACCACAGCTCTTGACTAATCAACGTGTGAGTAACCACTCAGTTATCATAGAATTCACAAATTATATCCCTGCTGAAGTATGGTGGATATAGGATCTTATTGAAAGCCCTGGCTATGACATACCATTAGTACAAATGTAGTTAGAAAAACAATTGAAACATTTATTTGTTCCTGACAATTACAAGTATTTGACAAAGAAACCAGCTTTTCCCCTTAGAATCCTACAACAATTAACATTCTTAGAGTCAAGCCAGGTTAAGCGTACCCACCAAGATTCCAGTTTTGAAATTATTATTGGAAAGTTGAATCCATTGGTAGTTGTTGATTTGAGATTCATCTTTGCAATCCTGCATGCATAATGAGCAGTGAATTCCTGAGCAAGGTAGATAGTGTTTTGAGAAACCAGATCAGTTTTGTTAAATTTGATGTAAATGTCTTCAAAGCAATTTCATCATTTCAAAGATTTTTCAATCTGTCTGAAGAAAGAGAAGTCATTGCAAAAATTCGCTGCTCATTATGCATGCAGGAACGCAGATTTGAATTTGATACTGGTTGTGGCAGCCACTGTTAAGGGATTCATTTTTCAAATAAACAATTACAATTAAAATATAATGTAGTGGGGTACAATTGACCTGACTTGGCTTTCATCTACCTGGGAAAACCACGACTACTAAGAAACAGTCAAAAAACAAATTACAGGCACCAACAAAATACTTACACTAGTTCATAACCATTTGGAGTAGTTCCTATAAAAAATCCCCCAACTTTGAGTCGTTCGCAAGCATTCTTCAACATCATATCAGCTTGCTCGTAACTCTCAAATGAGTAATGAAATGAAAACTGGCAACTAGTCAGGTCAAACTGTTGATCTTTATCCGTGTACTTATCAGCAAGTCGTTCCTGTTGAATGCACATCACATAAATATGTCAGGACCTGTTAAACTTGTGGTCTGATGGACCAGGTAAAGGTATGGAAAAGTTAACAAATCAGCAACAGTTTTCCATGATGTAAACTCTTGCTGACCATAGATTTATGACATCAAAATGTAAAAACTCAAGTGGAAACTCAAGCCACAGATGAGTGGTTTCAATGCAAAGTTTTGAACATTTTGACATCATCTCTATGCTCAATAAGAGTACAGACCACAGAAAATTTCTGTCGACTTGTTTTTGTGATAACATCAACAGTTTTTTTATGTAAATATTACATTTCTCTTGAGAGCTTCTCAGAAAATCAAGAAAGAGAAAAAGAAATTGTGCCACCATCACATTTCCTTAATCTGTACCATAATCAACCATAACTCACAAGCAATGAGTGCACCAGAAAGAAATTGCACATTTTTAGTAAAAAGTGCATTTGAGAGAAATGGTCTATCAGGCTGCAGTTCACCCTTCGCTGCTTTCTGTAGCATGAAGCAACTAGGAATATTTCTATTCACCCCAGACATGATGCCAGTCCATGGAAGTGTTATCCCCAGCTTTAAATTTGGCTGTGATAATTTATCTTCCTGGGTGAAGCTGGGCACTATGAGAGTAAAGTGTTTTGCCAAGGACACAAAACATGCAATAACCAATCGAGGGCTCATAGTCAGAGCTCTTGATTTGGAGTACCACACACTAACCATTAGGCCAACATGCCTTCCACCTGATAGACCAAGGAATAGGGAAAGCCCTGTCAAGTTTGAGTGTTTTCCTCTGCAGCTGCCTGGTTAGCTTAATTAAATAAGCCCTGGTCTGCTAAGTGGGAGGTTATGGATTCAAACCCTTTCTGGGCCAACACTCAGAATAGGCTCCCTTTGTAATGACATCCACAAATAGGCCACTTGCACTAAGAGGTCACGTGACTAATGCTTCCTTTAAACAATGAGTTGGAATCTTGCTGATGCCAAAAATTGATAGAGCACATAAAAATTATCTTAGACCCGAAATTTGAGAGGAAACGCATTTAAGGGAGATATTTTATGGCACTTTGATTTTTCAACAAAGTAGTATCATTTGTATTGGCCGCCATGGCGGCCAAAACTACTTTTTGCTTATATCTTGTTGAACGTTTGATAATTTCACTCAGATGTGCTGTAAACGTTACTACATCATCTTTTCAACATTTTCCTTGAAGTTTAAGTGCAAAATTTGTGTTCAGAAAGAGGTAATTCATAATTTTAAAAATCACAATTTGGTCACGTGACAAGCTACGAACTTACTCAATTTAAGAAAATGGTGCGGGTTTGAAAAACCAAATCAATATTATTTTGTTTAAGATATGACCCATTAATCGTTTTTCGAAGGAACAATCATATAACTTTCATTTTCATAAAAACGATGTCACATGACCTCTTAGTGCAAATGGCCTATTGGTACGACATTCTAGTCTTCTCAGGAACCATAGGCCCTGTCTAAAAGCTCTTTCACTGTTCCTCACACTGCTGTTCATAAAGAGTAGGGGATGTAGACCCCTAGTGGTGTGGACAACCTCCTCATGGGCTGGGTTGGTAATGAAGGGGTTGATATCAATAAGGGATGCAAGTCCCGTTCTCTGAATTAATTCACCAACAAAAGAACAGAGTCCAGGAAGGTGAATTTCTTTATCAAGGGGGACACATTTTAGCTCAGAGGATTAGACTGCCTGTACTGCACAGGAAACTAAGAACTGGTCTGTTCGTCTGTGAAACACCTCCCAAATCCTTGTTCTGGGCCCATACCTGTGTACAAGGATTAGAGTATACAACATGATTGACCTGCTGATAAAGCCACTGTCAATTTACTAATCAGTATGAAAGGAAATTCTAAATGCCCTTCTGGTAATTCATTGAGTCTGTTGGGTGTACAGAACAAGGATCTCGGCCCTGCTTTGCAGATGTTACTAACCAAGGTTAAATTATGTCTGCAATGCAGGCTAAGGATAGATGACAAGAATGTGAGCTCTTTGAATGGAAAACACATAATAGGAGCAATTTGAAATAGTTGAATAGATATTACCTTGCTACAATCTGCAGTGATGAATTCAGGTTCAAAAAGAGGGTCACGGTAACGCCGGCTCTCGTGTGTCTTTTGAAGTTCTTTGTATCTCTCCTTACACTGCTCTACAGAAACGTCAGCAATGTCTGAGGGAAAGAAATCACCAACACACCAAAAATTAAAATGAACCAGAAATCATATCTGCTGGCATAAGATGAAGGGTTAAGAATATAGATGTCCAGTTCAATTTTTTAATTTAATCTCATGCTATGCTCCTGTATAAAGCATTTTTATTTATTATTTTTATTCAACTTATTTATTTACTTATTCAGAAATAAAATGAGACCAACCTGCACATACAAGAGTCTTTATTCTTCCCCTCTGCCACTTGAGCAGGTCGCCCCCCTTTCCACAGCAAAGATCGAGCACTGATATATCCTTGTAATTCACTCTAAGTAACACGAGGAGAACATTTGAGCAATAATTATTTACCAAAAGCAGGGTTTAAATACCCTTCCAATAAATTCTTTTAACACAAGGCAACAGAGAGACAGAGGACTAGAAATCACAGCAAGTGAGTTATTGAGTATTTTTCACCTTTTTTGGTGGGAATTCAGTATTGTTTTTAAACAGCTCGAAAAAAGCCTGAAACCTGCCTAAGAAGGTTGGTACAGTTTTTCAGGGTGTTCATTGGGCATCAGAGATTGGAGAATTCCCTGTTTACTTTGCAGAATTCTTCAGCAAATGTTTGGTAGCCTACGTCTACTTTCTATTCAGATGTGGAGCCTCTTTCAAAATACTCCTGTAAGGTTACACCTTTCTCCTGCTACTAGAATTCTTAATGAAAACCCTGGTTTTTGAAAACAACATTTCAGTCCTTGAAAATGCCAGAATAAAATGTCACTACCCTCCAGACCTTCCAGGAACCATAAGAACCATGTAAAACTGCCTTACCTTTTGATTTTGTCCAGACTGTCTCCAATGATTATGCTCTTGACCCAGTTGTTAAAGTTCCTTAAGTAAAATATGGGGCTCTCTTTTCGGCTTTCCTTGCTGCCTTCAGGATGTTCATTGTAGTGTTTTGCTACTTTGTCACCTAGTCCCTTGGTGCTATCTGACGCTTGCTCCTCTGTATGTTTAGTGTCTCCATTCACATCCTAACATATCATAATGTGTACCAGTTAATACAGCTTAATAGCCAGGTTCTCACCTATTAAAATTTCAATCTCTTTCAGTGTTAAATAAAGGCACCTTATTTTATTCCATTTTTATTTTATTATCATTTATTTTTCCTTGTCTCCCTCAAGAACAAGGAAACTGTGAGCAATGAGTTGTCATCCTTTAACTGGTATTTTAGTGCATTCTTGTCATCTTTTTGAGGCAGTAAACTGTTTATGTTGTCTTTATATACCAGTAACACAAGAAATCTTTCACCATTTTTTCCCACAAAAACAGCTGAACTGCCACACAACTGGTACAACAATTACTGGTAAACCAGTAGTTTCACCTTGCAGCCCAGAAGACTAAGAGTCAGTAATTTTTTTACCTCTGTGTCCGGCATCTCTGATGCATAAAATCCCCAAAGACGCAAAATAATTCATGGCAAGCGTCCCATAGGATGCAAAGAATGATCAATTTATTTGAAGATTTTTTTTGGTAGAATATCCTGTTCATGTGATTTCTTTTTTCAGTAAACAGTAATAACAAATTTTGGTGTCTGTACTCCAGATTAACTGTCTGGTTACATAAAGGCCCAAGCATTTTCAATTTAGTACTCCTTGTTTTTTTGAACTAGGACTCATTGGTTTGTAACAAAGTCACTGTAAGAATCCCACCTGGTTGGAAGCAAACCAGTTGGCTATTTAAAAGCATGACCGATGAGTTGAACTAGAGACCATTGAGAACAATTCTAGGTACATGTACGCTGTAGTCTTTAGGGTGGAGATAGAACTTGGGGTCTCCAGATGATAACTCCACTGCTCTAACCACTTGGCCAAACTTACCTGGTCTCCTTCAACTTTAGCTTCTTCTTTTTGTTCATCTGAGGCTTCTTCTTTTTTCTCTGTACACAAAATTTCAGGGAAAACAATAAAATCAGCGAACATTTTGACAAAGATTTAGCTCATAAGATGGTTTTGTTGGTGCTGAAATCAGATTTCTTGTATTTCTTGTCTCGATTTCCACTAATTTAACCCATTTGCCCCTGAACACATGTAACGGCCCAAGTGGATCCATGTCCCTTATACCCCTTGTAACGTCATCAGTTTTTGTCTGCTAACTTGTGCAAAGTGAAGAGTTTTTTAAAACCATACCAGAATGAGCACCATTCAGTCAAGGACACTGGAGAAAAAGGCAAAAAACCTGTAACATTGACCTGAAACTTTCCATGAAAATTTTGTTCCACTATCCACCTACCTTTCCTTTCATCTAATCCTAAGATCCTAAAAGCTTCCCCAAAAACTTTTCCCACCAAAATGAAGCCTACTAAATGCACGGCCAAAGAAAACAAAATGAGGCAAGAAAAGCGATAAAAGAGGGGAGGAGAGAAAGTGAAAAGTAAAAGTCAAGACTGCTGTGTAACTTTTAAACCCAAAAACTATCTCGAAATTTTGTTTTCTGTGCATGCCCGAACTTCGCAAGCTAATATTTTGCTTCTGGGTCAGAAGGCGGCCAAGTGTACAACCTGTAAAGGGCTTTATGGTAAGTTTTGGCTCTTTATTGCATGACAGTGACCAGAAAACTGCTCGACTAGCTTCAAAATGCATTTTTCGGCAAAATTTCAAGGGGTGAATGGGTTAAAAAGAAAAACACATTAAAGTGAAGCCCCATCTAGCATTCCTAAAGGCATAAGATTTAAAATTGACAATGAAGGCGGATTTCCACTGTCGCACATCTCGTTCAACTTTTACATTTATGTGTGACTTCTCATAAATTACCTCTTTTTGATTTACCCTTGTACACAAATAAAAATTTTGCAACAGTGTAAATCCACCCTAGACAATTTAAATATTGTTACACCAATTCCAAATCTCAAACTTTGCCACTTTGTTCTACTTTGATGACTGCTACCTCACTAATGCACTCATAATTCAATTTTTGAATTATCAAGGCTTGTTTTGAACTGGCAGTTCTTTAACTGAAGGATGATCGACTAGGTAGCTCAAAAAGATGATCTCTGTCAGACATCTTGCTAAGATCTGACCCATTCAAAATTCTTTCCGAAGTTTGTTATTTGTTGTTTGTTTGATCAAAATACCATTGTAACCTTTTTCGCATTACTTTATTTTCCTAAACTATCACTGACAAATCTCGCACAGCTTGCTTATGAACCATCCGATAATTATACACCGGAAAAAAGGCTTTGTGGGGATTTGGGTATGAACTTCACCACGTGCTATCATCGGCTGACATCTATTCTTTCTATTAAACTTTCTTATTCTTTCATCAAACTTGGTTACTCGCACAACTTACCTTCTTCCTCTTTTGATACTTCTTCAACTGGTTTTTCGTCTGCAGGTTTATCTTCAACTGACATTTCAGCATTCGTAAGATCGGCAACTTGCTCGCTTTCGGAAGAGACAGCCGCCATTTTTTACCCGGAAAGGAAAGGCAGAAGGAGATTGGGACCTAGTTCTTTGCCGAGTGTTTTGAAAGCTTTGTCATGTACAGTACATTCAATTGTCCTTCCCAACAAAATTTAAATTAATAAATGCTGTATGTTACCAAAGTTGTCAATAAAATTTTACAAGAAATACTTTTGACTTCCATCTGCAAATATTTAGAAAAAATTTATATGTTGAAGGACAACACAACAAAACAGACGATAAATCAGTTAACGGAATTTTATTCGACAAAGCAACTTGTCAGCGGTCTGTACCATTACGAATGTTTTTTCCAACATGGCGGGTAAGGTTTGAAATATACTTGCTGTTCTTTAACAATTTTTCCTCTTTTTAACCATTTCACCTTTCTACAGGTTTACAGTCGCTTGATTTAGAGGAGGATCTTGCGGTTGGAAGGTAATGATGTAGTTTAATAACTAACCTTTGAGAGAAGTGTAAAATTAGCTTGACGGGCCATCTGGCTTGGGGTCATTAGATCGTTATTTTTTCTTCAGTCTTTGGAACATCTTATCCCTGTTTCTTGTTTTTGATTCAAAAATTGAGTGCCCATATTGCGACGATCGCCATAAAGATAGAAAACCTATCGTAAGGACTCTAATGCTTAATTCAAGTAACAATATTTAAGCTTGATATTGAAACTTCAGCTTACTTTACATGTACGCAGTCAAGACAGCTGGCCCCAAAATAATTCAGCTTGGTGTTCAGACTTGAGGCTTTAAAAATAATAATAATAATAATAATAATTTATAAATTTACAATAGCGCCTTTTAACATATAAATGATCAAAAGCACTTAACAGTCTAAAAGTTTATTGAGCTGGTGTCTAGTGCCAATGACGAGAAATTCAGTTTTATCGTCATTTAGTAGCAACCTTCCATCAATCAGCCATTTCTTTAAGTCATGTATGCACCCCTCCATAGCATGCAGCAGCTCATCTTGTGCGTTATGATCATCTGCTCTGAAACTGAGGTACAGCTGCGTATCTTCTGCAAAACAGTGAGCTTGTGTGAGGTGATGCTCAATAACCTTAAGGAGCGTTGAAATGTAAATGACAAACAGCAAGGGTCCCAGACAAGAACCCTGAGGTATGCCACAGTCAAGTGAGAACTGTTGATGGATACTTGGTGGTTCCGATTTGACAGATATGAGCTGAACTAGTCAAGCACTTTCCCATGTATGCCGACATCCCTGCGCAGTCACTCCAACAAGATATTAAGATCAACTGTGTCGAATGCGGCGCTCAGATCCAACAGGACCATCAGGGTCACATGCTGCTAGTTCATTTTCAAGAGGATGTCGTTCATAACTTTGAGCAAGGCTGTTTCAGTGCTGTGATGTTGATGATAGGATGATGGCTTTATACATCTTTTATGTGAAATCACTGGCCAAATTTAGTTGGTAGATAAGGCTGTTTGTTTCGTGTCATCTTTCTGATCTTAATAGCAAGTTTTTTAAATTTAATTTAGAATTATTGCTATTGGGTTTTCATTATCATTATTTTTCATCAGATCCAGTCGAGCTGATGCTAAGTTTGATACAACTGTTGGCCACATAGAGGACATTGTCATGGGTAAGTATATTTTATCATCATTCATCGCATCAAAATCAGTTGGGTGAATACTATCCTTGAAAAAATTTGTTTTGAAACGCTGACGCTGTTCCTCATCCAGGAGTAGTTTTTGTTTATCAATTTTTTGTATGGGTATTATCATTTATTCGTGCTGCATGAAACAAAGAATCAATCATATCTTTATATCCCCCCTAGAAGTTTAAAGCAAGATTATACTGTCTTTTAACCAGGTTAACAAAGAAGGTTCAGTTTATCTTTGACAAGTAACAGCCCTCAATCTAGCAAGGATTATTGGTCTGATTTAAATCTTGACAGTTCACATATTTCCTTTAGACAAATGTTATTAGTTCAGATCACAAGTGCCCAGTATTTTTTGCCTTCTCTTTAACACATAAAATCATTGTATTTTCTCAGAGGAAAGATTTCAGACAATGCAAAGAGACTTCAAAGAAAAGTACTACCATCACTTTACAGATGAAGAGGAAAATAAACTTATATACATGGATATATTCAAGGAATATGTAAGCTATTGTTAGTTGATTAACTCCACGCCAAATTGATTTAACCCAATAAATTGCTAAATGAGGCTACATTTGCTTGTAAACTAAGTGGTATGGTCTGTTGTTTCCTCCTAGATGTTAAGCATGTTTATTTTTTTTCTTTTTCATCTGTTTTAAGGAAAGATCCATTCCCTTTTTCTTGCTCTCATTGGTTTTCTTAAGCTTGTAGCAACATTTTTTTTTCCTTTTAGCATTCTGAAACCCATATAGTGTTTAAAGGCAATAAATGAAATGATTGAGAATCAGACTAGGCTTAAACCACAGTGTTAGACTAGGTTGAACTACAACATAGATATTCCACACCAATTAGCTGTTTCAGCCCCTCTCCCTCGAAAAATGTAATAGTACTTAGCTAATGTTTAACATGAACTGTGCAATAACCATAACCATTTAAGTAATGATCTGGGTAAGACAGGAATCAATTTCTTTTATTATGGCACAATACGCTTTCCTCACAAAGGAATGTTTTCATTTTTCACACAGAGAATGCATAAACCTACAAAAAGGCAGTTTACAAAATAACTGCCAATTATTGTATTTAAACTCCATTTTTAAAGGGTGTCTTTTTGTGTTAATAGATTTTGACCAATCATAAGAGTTGCAAACAACAGCCAAGAAAATATCACAATTTTACATGTTCCTCACATAGGATTTCTGTGTTACTTTATAGACTCAGACAAGCTTTTGTTATTAAGAATTTGGTTGGAAAACAAGGGATTAAAAGATTTCGTAAAATTAGATGTTTAAACCTATCAGAAGTGTAGTAGAAAAAACAGTAAAGTTAGCAGATTTTTGCATTCCAATGTGTTCATTGCATTTGGTTCTTTCCTTCTTATCTTGACCATTACTTAACTATCTGCTGCGTCTTTAGGTTTCACAAATAGAACATTACATACAAGATGAGCTTAAAAAGAGAATTCCCGGCTTCTCCATGGAAGAATTTTCAAAGTCGTTGGAGTAAGTTATTGTTTTATTGTTCTTTTGTGGTTATAATAAGTGACAAAAGGTGGTGTTGACCAATATTGTACTACGAATAATTTTGGTTATATTTTTTAAAATATTATAATGTTATTGTTGTTTGACATATTTTTTTGCTTTGCCATACGTAGACGTCGGCACGACCAAATTGGGGGAGATATATTGGAGATGCTTCTTAGTTTTACAGATTTCTTGGCCTTCAAACAAATGTTTCTAGATTACAAAGCTGTAAGTATTGCTAACCTCTCATCTGCTCTTGTTTAGTTTTGCCCTTTGCTTCATTTCAGCTTTTCTATATCTTTCTTGTATTCTGCAGTTTAATTAGACTGCAAAACAGGGATCATTATGCCCACCTACCCCTCCCCTAAGCCAACATTTTGCCCTAAGTGAGAAGTAAGTGTTAATGTTGGCTTAGGGGAGGGATAGGTGGGTAGTTTCCCAGAAACTTATAATGATCCAAAAACAGTTGGTGGGGGGGTATCAAAATCCCATTTTCAAGGCACAAAGCACTGGTATATTGCCCACCAACCTAGATTCCAGGCAAGTATCCCATCAATCAACCATGCTCTCAAGTGTGGCAGCCTAGCTGTTTATTCCCAAGTGAACTAGAAAAATGGCATTCATGGCTATCTGAAGGTGAAATAGCTACATTTCTGACTAAAACTGAATGGAAGAAATGCAAGAATATGCAAAACATATTGCTCAATGGATGTTATCTATTTTTTGAGGAGTATCTGCAAGAAAAACATCTGTTTATATCCCCAAACCATTCTGAGAAATAGGTCAAGGTTTTGAAGAAAGTCTAGGAGGAGGTTAGCTTGTTAATAACTTAGAAATATTTTGAATAAATAATATAACAGTTACTGAAATTCGACTTTTGTTTGATGGTTTGATGTGAAGAATTATGCAGATCTCAGAGGCTCTTATCTTCGACCTGCATAACATTTCACATCATACTCTGCCTTATTAAATAATTGTTAATAGCTTCTAGTTAGATATTGCAAGTGCATGCACTAATATTGTACATTATAACATAGCCTATAAACTAGTCAAATGATCAGAATAAATTCCATCATGGTACACTGTACACTTTGGATTTTAGGCAAAAGAAGGCACAGGAATGGACTTAAGTGACTTGTTAACTATCACGTCAAGCTCAGCTAATAAAGATGACTCACAAGGCATGCAAATTGACCCTGATTCACCAAGAGAGGGACCATCAAAGCAAAGATAGTCTTTGGAGAAACAGTTCTTTGACTTTCTCCATGTTCTTGGAGTGCTGTGTCTCTATCTGTAAATAAATACGACTCACAACTTGAAGGCACCACAAGTTTTGCAAACACAGTCTATAAATTATATTGCATTCAGTGTCAATAACTTTAGATTCACATGGTGACTGGATGTTGTTTTGGTAAAAATACCTAGCTACTATGGGTTTCATTAGACAGGTAAAACAAGAACAAACAGATCACAACTGCATAAAATTATGTATGTGTGCTGAAAAAGTTGTGCTATGAATTCAGATGATATAAGTTTTGGTTAATTTCTAATCTGCTGCTCCAGAAAAAAATTCATACCCTCCTAGATTAATACTTTTTTCCTAGGCCCCTATTTTCCTCGCGATTTTCAGTGACGCTCTGTGGGGCAGATATGGGTATTTTCTTGGAACAAGTAAGTGGTACTGTTTTGACTATTCACAGAGAAAAAAGAAATAGGTTACTTTCTTGATAGCATCCATCCTAAGCCTTCTAAAAGCAGAACAACAAACTCGTTCCTCTCATATCAACTGATATTTTTGTTTAAGAAAATAACTCCCTTTCTCTTTTATTAGAATTTTAAGTGTAAGAAGAGCCGTGTTGTACAAATTAATGTTTTAAGAACATTAAACAAAAGTATTTATAAAGATAAAGTTTTTTTCATATCACTTACCTGCAATTGTTCGTTTATTTTATAATTCTTAAACAGTGAGTAAAAAACTCGTTTTATGTACCTCACTGTCTGGTCTTGATCTACCCTTCAAAGAAGTTTGTTCTTTAACCCCTTTGACCAAGTTATAGCGAGATCATCTCTAAACAAAATCCAGTGGTGTTACCATTTATGTGAAACCTATTTGACAGAGCTTCTTGCGATCACACTTGTGTAAAAATGGCAGATCGTTCTACTTCCAGAGGATATTCATTGAAAAACAAAGACGGTCATCAAAATTAATGATAAATAGCCTGCGAATACAGTCGTTTCTCTTTACTGCTCGCCTCAGGTTTCCTCCTGGCATACCCTGGGCTCCAAACGATATTTTTTTCTTATCGATCCTGATCCTTCGCGGCGAAGCCGCGTCAAGGAGGCGCGAAGCGTCTCGGGAGCCTTACAAACCCCGTAAGCACGGTTTATTTCATATTAGGTATCTTGAGAACGGACCTCTGGAGCCAGGGTACTCCTGGCAAGGCTACGCAAAATATCGTGATTTGTCAGTGTCTCGCAGATCAATTATTTGCCGAAGTCGAAGGCTGGGGCAAATAATTGATATACTGGCCATTGACAAATCACGATATTTTGCTCAACCTCGTCTAATCATCAGGGGCCACGTCGTCACTTAAAATGGAGAGCTTACTCAAAGGCTAGCGTAGCGTGGAAATAATTTTACATTGGCTGTGAAAAAAGTAGGCGCTAGGGTTCGTACAGAGTCTTGAATCTTGAAAAAGTCCCAGCAATTTTCCAGACCTGGAAAAAGTCTGAAAAGTGGTAAAAAGCCGAGGTTTTTTTCAAAGCTACAACAAGTGCTTTATAGATAAGCGTGTTTCTTCGTTTAGGTCAAATCTCATTCAACCTCGCCCGTGCGTTTGCAGTGCATCGTAAAGAAAGCTTTGTTCCGGCGTTGTTGAAGGTCTATATTGATAACCTATTTGTTAATCTCGAGTCTGGAAAAAGAAATTTTTGCTTTGGAAAAAAAGTCTGGAAAAAGACTTGAATTTTGGATCCAAAAATCCATACGAACCCTGAATAGCATACAACAAAACAAGCACACTGATTGAATTATAACACAATTACCGTAAAATTCCGAAAATAAGCCCCTCCAAATATAAGGCCCCCAAGCCGGTAATGCAAAAAACCCTCCGTTAAATCGCCCCTGCAAATATAAGCTCCCGGAGGGCTTGTACTCGGAAAATTGCCCTCAAATAGAAAATAAGAAAAGCAATGTGGTAAATTTACTTCCAACTTTAAGGCTAGCCTGATCGATTTTGAAACGCAAATTTCCCTCCCTAGATAAGCCCCTCCGAATATAAGTTCCTCCAAAAATAAGCCCCTCAAAAGGGGCCTTTGAAAAAATATAAGCCCCGGGGCTTATTTTCGGAATTTTACGGCGTTGAACTTGGTGTGCATAATATTGTGATTTATCAGTGTCTCGCAGATAAATTAATTGCCTCTGCCTGAGGCGTCGGCAAGTAATTGATCTGCTCGCCTCTAAATAATCACGACATTTTGCTAACCCTCATCATCCAGTAATTGTTCATTATCTTCACTTACAAAAGAATCTTTATGCTTTACAGCCATTAAAAAATTAAGAAAGTACATTTTATTGCTTCATTTCATGAATCCATTACTTTATATTCTTACAAATTGCGGCTTCTTTATGGTACCCAAACTAACTAAAACAAATTGGAGATTGGTTCTTCGTCGGCATTCACAACATTCAGAACATTCTCGCTGAAAAAACGTTTCGCAGCACGTCGCAAAACGTATTTCGTCAAAACCCTATCCTCCTCTGTCGTTGTTTATTCTAGGCTTTACGAGTCTTACTCTGAGGGTTTTATGCAATCCCATTAATAACTGTACGTTTGTTAGTATTTTTTTAAAATAATAATAATAAGGAAATTGACGAGATTTCAATAAAAAGATAGACCAAGTAGACGGCAGAGATGACCACGTGACCAGAAAACTTTTAATTTCACTTGATGTTTTAAAGTTGATGTTTTGCAAAGTTTTGACCGCAGTGCTGGACATCAAAAAACTTTAATAAAGTGCTGTTGCAGCTCTAAGAAGTGGTTCTGTAAGAACGAAGAGACAAGGACAGCCAAGAGAATGAGATTTTCTCAATACTTAGTAGGGCTACTTAGTACTGCTCGCTAGCACGTGAACCAGAGTCATTTTGGCGGGAAAATGCATTAGCCGTCATCATTCTACTACGAGTTTTAGCGAGAACGTCGTTGTGGCGAAAATAAGTTATCAAATGTTAGAAGCTCTGAAATTATGCTATCAGGAGAATTCTTAACCTCCTTCAATTCAAATAACCTTTCTGGTCAGGAAAGTACAATAAAGTTTTCCGGGGTATCGATTTTTTGAGAGAATACGCGAAAATACTAAAGTTAATTCAAGTCCTCGTCCTCGAATCTAAATCGAGACCTTTAGATTCGCGACCGAGAACGACTATGAGTACGAGATTTGACTGAAAGATTTTTGGCGTATTCTCAAAAAATCGAGACCCCAGAAAACTTCATCGTATTTTTGATTCACCGGAAAAGTTAGCACTGTTATCTTCAATGAAGGAAGCTAAGCCCTCCCCTGCAAAATGACAAAACTTTAATATTTAATAACTTGTTTCCGCAACTGCGACATTCTCGCTAGAACTTGCAGTAGAATGACGACGGCTGTCGCGTTTTCCCGCCAAATGACGTTGGTTCACGCGCGCGCACTTCTTGGTATTGAAAAATTTCGTACTCGTATTCGCTCTCGTCTTAGAATCATAAAGTCTCTAATGTCTCTAATCTGTCCATTTGAATGGCGCATTTATCCAGTTATTTGCAATCCACTTGTGACCCTCCAGAACATCGCATCCTCCATGTAAAGAGCGCTCATCTTGAGTACCCAACAAACCAGTCACGTTATCGACCACGTGATTGTACCACATGATCGCTGTGCCTCTAGTGGGACGAACCACTATATTTGCATCATAGCAGTGAGTGCTTAAATTTGACAAATCCTTTTCATGGAACTCCTGTAAAAGATGAACGGAGGAACCATTTACTTGATGAACAGGGAGGTGAATGAATGAGCGACAAAATAATCAAAGAACGGAGGGCCTACTGATTGACTATGAAGACCTATGAACATGAACAAGTGCATAAAATAAAGGACGGTCGCATAAAAAAGTCAAAAGCTTGGAAATACCGTTCGAAATCTTACTTAAAACAATTATTTCATAGGTTGGAACGGCTGCCCGCAAACCTCGTCACATCTGTTGAAACAAAAAGTGTTGGGCCGAGTTGTTAACAGTGGGGGTTAAGATAGCCCACGATTAGTGCGAAATTTAAATTCAGACATGAAAGCGTAAAGACAAATTCAGTTTAATCCATTTTGTCAGCAACTTGATAATTGGATACTCTAAAAAGAATAGAAAAAAAAAATATCCGAGAAAATGCTTTTGAGCAAAAGAAAAATAAATCCGGGTTAAAATTTTCACCCCCGGCTAGCCCTAATCACTCGGTCATCGAACAACTGAGCCCAGAGCTCAATATTGTGGGAAGGGGAAAAAGAGAAGACAAGGAAAGGATAGATAAGCTGGTTGAAAAGGTGTGACGTGGAAAAACACAGTGTTTCAACAAATTCTATAAGTTTTGCGGTTCGCGTTTCTCACCGTTTGGTTAAAAATCTCTTCATCAGCGACAGGAAAAGCTGTCTCGCCGCCACGGGGAACATCGTTGAGGTAATACAATATCGTCAGAAACCTGAAAGAAGAATTATTGTTTGGCACAAACGCGAAAAAATCTTTACTAAGTTTATTACTGCGACTGTTGTAAGCCATTTCCGAGTTTCCCCTAGCCTCTGTTTTAAAGCGAGGCTACATGTAAAGCCATTGATGTGAAAATGATTTTTTTTTCGCATGAAAATAAAACTCATTTTCACAAAAAAATGTTTTGCAATTAGCCTCGTTTTGAAAGTGGAAGTTTTGGAACTCGGAAATGGCCTATTGGCTGATTCATGCTCACGTGGTTTTACTATAATCAATCGTGCGGCAAGCACTCCACCCTGAAAGGGTATGTAACAGGACGTGTAGCGCCAAGCCGACAGCCTCTTCACTGGAGGAGATCTAAAGGAACTCAAACCACAAGACGGCACTTTTATTATTTTTTTGTCGAACATTGGCTTATAGTCTATTCCAGACGTTCAGATGGTGGTGTGTAGCTGATCGCACAATTTTCCGTGCTTGGTTGTAAATAGCTCGCCAGGGTTGAGGAAGCTGTTCTAGTGTACAAACTAAGAACTCATTACCCTCTCTTCCTCCTGATTTCCTTCCTCCTAATTTCCAATTATTTGCAAATTTTACATTTTTTTTCCACCTGCGCGCAAACCCCGACATATGTGCCTCTCTTGACAAGACAGTGCAACAGAAAATCTTCTTTACCGACACAAGCTGCAATTCGTGTCGTTTCCTCCTCCTGCATTTCTGCAACATATCCTGATAGAAGCATTATTATCCCGTGACGAGTCATAATGCGCGTGATAATGACCATGGATTCCATACTGTACAACCTGAAAAACAGCAGTAGTGATGTTAACCTACAGTTGAGCAAGTTGGAATATTCGCAATGAAGCTTTAAAAAAACGCCAGTGCCAGACGTTTAAGTTTACATTATTCATATAATCCACAATAATAATAATAATGATGATAATAATAATGCAAAATAAACAAAATATACAAGAAAGTGTTGAAAAAATTAAGAAACTAAATCAATAAATCAATTAATACAAAAATTGTCCACCTTTGATGTTTGGCTGAGTAATCAATTCAGAGGGTAGGCTGTTCCACAAGTTTATCGTGGCGGGGAAGAAACTCCCCTTGTACGCGGGCGTTAGTGCCACAGTTCGCAGCAATGTATCTCGCAGGATGGTAAGGGGCACCCAACGAGAATATAGTTCAAAACCACTTAAACATAGCATTGTTAAACGTATTTTAGTATTTTTAAAACTTTAGATATAGGCATATTTTTATCCCCTAAAAAGTTTTCATCTGTTCGCATTTCCTAGCTGAAAGTCTGGTGATCCGAAAAATATAGGGATCAAAACTTACCTTTTCGAAAATTTCAGCCAGAAAAAAGGCTCCCGAAAATTCTAGGTGACCTTTTTAGGGTAAAAATCCGTTTAAAACGGGCAACTATACCATTTTATAGATGTTCTAGGAGAGGCAGGCAAACAAGAAATTCTACAACAAATGTTCCGATAATTCTAGATCTCAAATCGTCTTCCGAACAGATATTTTCCGAAAATTGACGTTGGGTGCCCTGGATGGTACTGACGGGTAATCTGCAGTTATGTAGTGGCTGGACATATGATGGCATTGGGATAGCCACCAAACCTCTGGATATCTTGAAGAACAGCATCAGCTTTGCTCTTTCGCGTCTCCCAGTTAAGTTTCTGTATCAAACGAGTCACTGTCCTCGGTCCTCTATTCCAGCAGTTCTTGCAGAAGCTCTTGCCTTACCCTCTACAGCCTCTATACTATTGAGTTTCTGTCAATTAAGGGTTGTCACTAAGGTTTTAAGTTGCCTGGTGAATACAAAAGTAGGCAGGGAATCAAACAGCAAGGGTTTCTTTTGGTTCTATTTTTCTTCTATTCACTTTGAAAGTAGCCAGGGACCACGTTCGTAGTAGTCGGGGAAATCCCCGGCCCTCGCCTCTTAACAACAGCCCTGAAATTAGTCCTTCAGAATGTGGCCTGCGTAACAAGCGTTTCCGTTTGGTTTCGGAGTAAAAAGAGGAAGGGGACTTTCGGTTTTGATCGCGCGAGAAATTCAACGAGTTATTTATCGCGTGGTCTTTGACTCTTGTTCCTCGTTCTTTGTTCCTAAACCGCACAGAAACGCTTGCTACGTAGGCTATTCAGAATGTTATAGTCGCTCAGATGTCCAAAAACATGATCGTATATAACATGCTCCATAACTTTACAGATCGCACACGTAAGGGAGACAGGTCTGTAGTCGTCGAAGGTCGTGATCGCTCAAGCTCCCAACTATCTGCCAAAAAAGGCCGTTTGAACACATATTAGGACAGTTTTTAAACGCAAATAGACCATTATTTTTTGCCTTGCAAAACAATGGACACACTGAATTTTTTGCTCAAAAATGAGCCCTACCTTTGCCAGCCCAGGGGTTGTAAGCGGGGTCACAGCTTACCTGCAATTCTTCACTGCGCTCCACAAATATCCTTGGTAACTTGGTCAACTGGATCACTCTAAAACGAAATGTAACATTCAAAAAGTTATTTTTTTGCAGCTGGTAAGGCAGTATTCCAACACATACTGATATTCACCAAAATAATAATAATTGAAAAAATAATAATACATGAAAATTTTGCTGTCAGGTAGAATATTAATCTATACATCTAAAACCTAGAATGAAAATCAATGACAACTCGTAGCCTAAATTCTCGTCGCCTAAACAGCACACAGCAGGAATTCATATATCACAGAAAAGTAGTATTACATACTGTCTTATAAGGACGCTCATAAACGCACAAAATAATAGACATGACTAAGACACTGGTAGCAACCAGCAGTAGCCAGTGTGAACAGCCATGACTAATGCATGCAAAAGTCATAGAGTAATAACAAAAACATTATCAAGAAAAACCTGAGAATAAGTTATTTGGAAATGTTGGTTTTTGAGGAGAGGGGAAAAGCGGAGTACCCAGAGAAAAGCCTCTTGGAGCAGCAAGGGAGAGAACCAACCACAAACTTAACCCACGTTTAGCGATGACGGGATTTGAACCCAGGCCACATTAGTGGGAGGCAAGTGGCCCGGGTCTCATCGTTTTGCCACCCTTGCTCCCTAACTACTGGAGAGTTAACAGTCAACTCCTTTTTATGGGCATCTACTCAAGATGATACCTCTTTAACCCTTTCACTGCCAAATTTACCAAAAGCAAATTTCAACCAAATTTCCAAATTTCATTTTGTGAAATTTTGAAAAATAAATAGCACCATGTGTAAGTACAGGAAGAGTGCTTTCATTTAAATGGTCACATCATACGATTTCGTCCACAGACTCAAAAGTGTGCTGCCCAGTTCTCCAAATCCTGACCCTATTTCAGACCAAAAAATGTCATTTTTCACATCCATTTTCAGACCTGGCCTCTAAAATCCATACCCATTTTCAGAACCAGCCTTTAAGAAATTATGTCATCATTACTTAGATTAGTAGAGCAACAAAAAAGATTTCTTAAAATCCATTTTGAATTAGCATCAAACTATTTCTTTTTCTTTCTTACTCATTTGGAATTGAGACAATACATATATTCGTACACTCCCGTAGTTTAGGGGCTTACACAACAAGCAAACTAAAGATGTGTGTCCATGCCTTTCTTGTATATCCCTCAACACTGCATCCTTGCTTCCAGTCATCGTCAGCCATGTCTGTTGGCTAAGTCTGGTTCGGTATCGTGGATGATTATTTTCCAGTTTTTTCATGTACTGGTCAAGCACTACATGGTCACCCTTCATGCATTCAGTCAAACTTATCTCACCTTGTAGAAATGAACAGTAAAAGAACAATAAGATCAAATTGAAAAGAACCTATGGTTATCTAGTCTCCTGTGCAGCCATTTTTTGCGTTGTCATGCAATGCTCCAAAGTTGCAGCACTGCATGAAAACAGAAAGAACAGCTGCAAAGGAGACTAATGGCCAGCTCAGTTTATCAAAAGACACTTCAGTGACTGACTTTTTCACATTTATCTTGTGCGAATGATGTACATGTGGTTGAGGCTGAATGGAACCTAGAATGACAGAATGGCAACAACAAATGCACCCATGTCTCCTTCAGACTTCAAGCCTATTCCAGGCGTTCAGATTGTAGGGTGTGGCATGTCTAGTCAGAGAACGGGAAAAAAATAAGGAGGACAAGAGGGAGAGGAAAGAAGGAGTTTTTCTGGCTCACATCTCTTTGCAGCGTACACCCCCGGAATGGGCTATCAGACTTCTCTTGTTTATACTTGTGGTTTGTGTTTTATAAAGTAGAAAACACTCCTGTTTATGTATTAAACCACATAATAGGGACCTTTAGATTGGAGTGTACAGGTTTTTAAACCAGGTTCTTGTGCCTAAGTTAAGCACACCCTATCCTAGACTGTGTACAGATGCCCCTCTCCCCTCAGAAAAAATCTGGGAGAGAGACTCTCTCTCTCTTATTTCTTTTGAGGGGAGGGGGCATCTGTACACAGGCTGACCCTATCCATAAACTTTATTTATGAGCTTGTCAGTCAACAATGGGAAAAAGTTATAGACTGGGGGATATCATGAACTTAAGACTCCAAAGTCATACTTGCACTCAATTTCATACTCAGTGGTAGTCAGATTTGAAAGTGGCTATAAAACTATTGTTTTAATCTGTAAATACTGATACCTATTAGAGACAAAAATAAATGGCAGTTCAAATGCAGGTCACAGGTCGCAAGCGCAGGTTACAGTACAGGTGACCATGCTACAGTAGATAAACAACACTAATTGTGTCTGCTAGCCCTAAGCATGATCCAATAGATCGATAGAACAGTGACTTGCACGTGTGACCTGTGACCTGTAACAGTAATCAACTGCAAAGTTATAGAGGTGTAGAATGGTTCCTCCAAAAGAGCGGGTCTCTGATAATGTGGGCCTGATCTCGAAATCTCTGAAGTGTTAGTGATGGGTCTCGAAGTCTCGTTTTTGGGTGATTTTGTGTCTTGGAGTCTCGCAGTCTTGCAAAGTCCCAAATTTACCATTCTATATCCCTAGTTATGTCTGCTAGCTATCTGCCATGCAAAATTAAAAAGTTATTGTAGCAACATACCATCTCCATCTTTATCAAAGTTTATTTCCCTTAACCTGATAAAACAAAGTAAGCCAAAATTTGCTCATCAATTATTATAAGACTGCAGTAGGACTTAAAAAAACCAATTTTCAAACAACATTTTAACTAAAACCCTAAGGATGTTATTGAATTATTCAAAATTACTTACATCAAATCAATCTCTTGAACTGTTACTAAAATGCCATCTGTTTCGTTTAAATATTTTCTCACCTGAAAGTGATGGTCACCGTCTGTTAACTATATATCTTATCACACAATACAATATCATTATAGAGCCTAATTGTATGGGTATTTCCAACGAAATCAAAATCCTAATGATCACTATTGATGCATGAGTGACAATCTTAGAGATTAAGGCCCAATCCCTTTACCATTCCAATAAAGTTTGACAATGTTAGTTGTGCAATGACAGCAAAGACACCTTCCAAAAAGTGTGCTGCACTTTAACAGTTTCTGTTTTGCTTATTAGACCTGTTACTTCTTTGAGTTGCATGTTTGGTTTGTCACAGTGATGTTTGCTTTGAGTTTGCCAGTAGCACTACCATGCAAAATAATCCTTGATGTGTGACAATTCTGCCTGAAAAACCGAGGACTTGATAGAACATGCATGACAAAATTGATGTCTGCGGATAGCCATACAGAGGCTCTATCATTATAAAATCATAATATTTTTATTGATACTGCCTGGTGTGGGAAGTAAAAATTCACATGATTGAAAGAGACAGTTATAAACAAGTTAAAGGTTACTTATTGTTTAGTTTAGCTGTATATCCCTGTATAAAACACTTGAGGTCACATGATGGGCAAACACTGATTTGATAAAAGAGATAGATCATAATCAGACATATCGAATATCGTAAAAATGTAATTTTTTCCATTAAACATTGCATTAAAGTATCTTAATTCACATATTCTTTGTTTGTGATAAAAACTTTAAATTGATAATCATTATTCTTTTGTTAAAAATTCATTCTAATTTCCAGAGACAAGAAAAAAGCAAAAAATAGTTTACAGCATGGACTCATGTTACGTTATAAGTGAAAGTCCTTGTTTGCATTGTATTAAATATAACAAATATTATTATACTGGAAAATAATTACTTATCATACCTCCGATGAAGAAATCTTGCCATCATTGTTTTCATCGGCTGCAAGTAGCTCTTCACAGTCTTCTTTTAATTCCACTTCAGTTGAAGCTGCAAGTTTCAGTGTTAGATACTATTAACCTTAAATGTCTTCTTCATCAAGGTTAAGTGTTGCTGTGGTATTCATAAATTTTAAGAATACCACAGTGACACTTAACTTTTTTTCAAGCAACTTTGAGGGCTCCACGAAGTAGAGATTTCAGACAGAGGGAAATATTCACTGACAGATTTTATACCAAAACAGTGTGGTTGACGAAACACAGTGCTGATAGGCATGGCCAAAAGAGAGGAAGAACCATCACTTAATGCAGTCTTTCTCTTCTAACTGTACGTAAAACTAAACATGGCCATGGGAGCTGGGAAGGCTTAAGAAGGGGCCTTCAGCATTCTTCTTCTAAAAAGGACCTTATTAGAAAGGGGCTTAATAAAGGATTTCTAGTACATTAGGTTTGATGGTCTTACAAATGTTATTTTACTCATAGAGTAAAGAATTGTGACATCAGAAATAGTATTACTAATGTTAAAGAATTTGCCATAGCAGCAATAAAAAAAAAATCATGTGCTACTGTCACAGCCTACCCTTTAACAGATCTTTAGTACAGCATATTGAGATTATTCTACAGAGCAACAGTGGTTAATTTGTATATGTTACAGGTCAAATTGGATTTCAAGTTAATTTTAATTTAACCTAGGTCGACTCTCAATTGCCTTGAATTCCTAGCCCTGATTCCTGAATAATTAGGACTAGGAGACAAAGGAAATTGTGAATCAACCTAGGATAAAAAAAACTGAAACCTGAATTTAATTTAAACCTGTAACATATCCACAGCAAAATTAATTTTGAGTGAGAAGCTAAAAGGACCTGAGGGGGTGGGTAGGGACTTGAATCAAAGAAACCCCAGTCAGGGTTCATACAAAAAATTGCAACCATCTTTTAAAGACTTTTCAAGCACCACGTTTGATTTTCAAGGACCACCTACCAGGAATAAAAAAAAAATACACATTCCCAGTTCATTCTAACAGGACTTAAAGGCTTGAACTGTTTGCTCTGCCAGCTTCTCTACATTTTTCAGTTCACTTAATATCTTAAATTGATAGTTTATGCAAATCACTATCTGAGCTATGATTTACATTCTGTCTTCAACAGCCAAAATGCATTCAAAAACACTTTCCAGGCCACTACATTCAAAGCTGAGGAAAAATCAAGGACTTTTCAAGGACTTGCTTAGAAATTTAAGGACTTTTCAAGGATTTCCCCTTAAATTCAAGGACTTTTCAATCTACTGTGTGAACCCTGCCATTTAAGGAGAGGTATCAATATTTTCTGGGATGTTTAAATTAATACTGTTAATAACCTCACCTTTTTGGTCTTCGATTTCTGGCAAAGTAGTACTTTCATACAAACCCATCTTGCCAGCGAGATTTATTATATGTTCACATTCCTCTGCACTTAAAAAGTTGGGTATTTCTAGTGGAAATAGCATAAAAGTATTTGAAGTGGAAGATTTTAAAAAAAAATTGTCACATATTGAGGAAACCAAACAAAAGCTTGAGTAGGAGGCATCATTTTGGGAAGGGTATTACCCAAGGACTATTTTTCAAATCGAATAAACCAATAAAAAATAGGTAGATGTTCTTGTTTTTCTATATTAAAGAGTTACTGGCCTTTTGAAATTGATGAATATTTCATGAGTAAAATATATCTTTCCAAAATTCTTTTCTCACCAAATAGAAGTGGTCTCAAGCTTTTAGTAATTAACTGTCGGATCCTGCCATCAGTGAATGTGACGTTCTGTACATGGCCAACCTGACAGATGTGATATTTTAAAGAAAAATACAAACAAACAAACTTGAGAACTTAAAGCAGCCTAAAAATTATTTTTCGAAATTGTTTAATGGCTTATCATATAATTGGTTACCTAAAGCTTTCATACCTTAGATTCACATCGCAACACTTGAATTAAGACTTACAATTAGCTTACAGAGAGATTGCATGGAAAGATTTATCAGGATTTTTAAAAGCACACTGAATTTAAGCGACAGGAAAAAAGGGGGATATAGTAAGGACAAATAACACGTTCAGTAGCAGGCTGTATTGAGGAAGGTTAAAGTCCTTGAAGGAGACATTCCATCTTACCTGTACACCATTAAGTCTTCTAAGTTTCGGATATGGCGCATTGCATGGCTGGTTCGGCGCCGAGCAGGTTTCAGTTTCTCGGCTGCCATCAAAGGCCAGAATAAAAACACCTTGCCAGTTCGCACTGACAAATAAGGTAAATATCACCAGCCAGGGCTGACACATCGCTTTGAATCAAACAACAGTACCAATAAATAAATCTCATGATAACGGAAGAATAACAAACAACGGATACTGCTTGAAACAAGTTTTTGCAGGATATTATTTTGACAGGCGTTCCAGCTAATCTTGTACCCAGGTCTCCCACGGCCAAAGGCAAAGGTAAAACAGAGTGAGATCTGGGTAAAAGATAGAACCTCGTCCCCAGGGTCTTCTAGGACAGAAGAAGACAGGTGTGGATCGATCCGGAAGTCGTAAACTGAAAATTAAAACATGGAAATAATCACATTATCCACTCCTCTCTGGACTTTTCAGGGATAATTTAAAACACTGGTTGAGGTCTTTAGCCTAGCCTCCCACGCAGACGTTCTTACGGGTTCGTCACGCAATCATTCCTGACGAACCCCTAAGAACGTTTGCGTGGGAGGCTATCTTTAGCCAGGTGCACATGGTTTGCAATGAGGGAATCGAGGAAAAATGAATTATAAGTGTCCCCTATGTACAGGTGAATTGAGATTGGACAACCATACAAGGGACTATTTTACGAACTGTGAGTGGCCCAAGGTGTGTGATACGGGACCTACAGTTTATCATCCTTATCTGAGACAGGAGGCGATTACCCGGCTCCTGTCCGAGACGGACTAGAAGGTCTAACCTTTTGCAGAAGCCATTAATCAAAGGGGTATAAGTCTGTTGTCTCCCGCACGGAAAGACTGGAGCATATCCAATACGGACCTTACGAAACTACAACGGCAACGGGAACGGCTAAAACACATAGTGCCAAATATTTAAACGAAGTCTAACTTAAGCCGCGGTTTAACGAATCTTCGAAACTCCATATCTCTTCTTTGGTGGGTTGTTTTGAGAGGATAAATGCTTTTCTAGTCTTCTCTATATGCTTTCATAAAACTTTTCAGAGTAAATGATGTTTAGATAAAATCCGGTTGGCAAATTGAAAATGACTTAGAACGCGGTTTTGTTAAACACTGGCTACATTACGTTTACATATTAGAAGCAAAACAACAACTCTACGCGTGTAAATTCGTAAATCACTTAACCGTCCAACTACGACATGAAATGTCTGAAATGTCTCTGAATTTTAAGTTTACTAGAGGTCCTTGAGAACAAGAACCGCTCTTGAAGGTGAAAAATTTTACTACCATCTCTTTCTGAATTCAGACCCTTCATTCAGCTCCAACCAAATCCCGCTCCTTCAAAGTAACTGGACGACTTGGATTCATCCCAAAAAAGTTTGAAAGAACACAAAGTTTATTACTTTGCGACATTTTCATTGTTGTCTAAGCTTCTGGAAGGTCCCTAATAACCTCTGTCCCGAGCGAAGGCTAGTAGATGACATCATCGATCATACCCAAGTACACCCGTACGCCGGCTAAAAACGGGAATGGGGCTGGAACACCCTCTGAACACCTGAAACAGGCTAGTTTTTAGTTAATGGTTAAGGGGCAGATAAACAAGCCGCCATCGAGTAGTCTGTGTGCCTTTACTTGCAAACCACTGACGAAAAGGATTGTTGTCTGAGGCGGATTCTGAATAATTCTGTACAACATTTGAATATCCTTTTAAAGAATATTCCATCGTGGACTTTGAAACCCTCCGACCATAATGGGAATAAAAATTCTGCGTTAGAACTGCTTTTATTAGTGGATGCCTGAACCCATTTATGAATTATAAGGTAAAATGAAATTGAAATACTTTCGCAAATCAGTAATTTGTAATGGTAAAAGGACTGAGTGGAGTCCAATTCGGTCTGTAATCATACGAGTGATTAACAAAATCGGACGACCGCGTAGCGGGAGTCCGATTTGTTTAATCACGAGTATCAGATTTGACAATTTTGTTATAGTTTTGATTAAAAGAACTACTGTATAATTAAACACTATGAAACAGTTTTACTTCGTCATTATCATTTCTGGTCTCGCGGAAAATGGTGAAAGGCCTTTCCGAGTGCTGTCCTAAAATGATGGCTACGCCAGATAAAAAGACAGGGATTTAAGCACGAGCTCAAAAACAAAACTGTAAATACCCAAGCCAATCTGTTCTCATCAGCGCGTCCCATAAATTCAAACGTTAAGTCAGGAAGGAAACATATTAACGACGAGCCCACTAAAATAGCTGACGTCTTCACCGCTTCGTTTTCATACTCTAAGCTAGCTGTTTGGAATTGTGACGTTGGTGAGCCCTCCAACGAGGCGATTTTTCTCTTACGTTTTTGAACCAAACGAAAAAGCCCGATATACCCTGCAACCCAAGTCAATATCATTGCCAAGTGAAGATAAGGCGAGACGAGTTTTCCCAACGACGTGGCGAAGAAAACGCCCGCACATATAGACAGCAACCAAACCACAGTAATCGCAATGAGGACCTGTTTCTTTGACAGAAGAAGATGGTGAGCAAATCGCAGTGAGAGAGCTCTCCACCTGTAAAGTGTTAAAACCAATAAGTTTGCAGTCGAAGCGTGCAGTGTTATTAGTGCGACCACCATTAACGCTAGCTGAAACGTCGAATCTTCATCTGTACAGTGGAGAATCGCGTGTACGTACATCGGTTGTGCTACGACACAGTTCAGAAGATCTGCCGTGGAAAGGCTCAAAATTAAAAGATTCAATCCTTTCTGAAGGTTTTTGTTTTTCAAGATGACAAACGCGACCAATGAATTCATTACAGTTCCAAAAATACTGAGTAGCAAGTTTAAAGAAGCGAGGGCAATGACTCGGCTTTTCTGCATGTTGTTTTAGAAAAGATAGACGCGACCAAAGACGAACTGGGCAGGCTGCGAGGTATATCTTTTGAATATCTGAGACTCTTTCAGGTATTAAAGTTATAATTACTGCTTGGATTTCTAATTTCCTCACCAGATAAACAAATCTTGCAATTCAATTTAATTTTACCTGAATTACGTAAATAAGAGAATTGTGCTTTCTTTATTTTCAATTTGGCAACGGGAAACTGAAGAGTATTCCAATTTATTGCACTGTGGCCTAGATTTGAATTGAACTGTTAACCCCTCACCTAATTGTTGCGAACGACCAGTAATTTTATCGATGGTCAAAATCAACTCTGTTTCTGTTGTCGGGTTATCGTGATCGCAAGTAAAAAAAAAAATGAAGTGTTCATTGTAGTACTCATATTATTTGAAAAGTAAAGAGAGCTTTGACATGAAAAGAACAAATATGCACACTTTGGTGACTAAAAATTAAAATTGGTTTGAGAAATTTTGCAGCTGCGTTTTGTGCTAAGTAGAACAAACACGGCATAATTAACGAGAAAAGGTAACTTCGTTTAACTTAAAAAAAGATAAAAGAAATCGAGTGGTAGGTGGGCATTAGCAAGACATCCAGGAAGCGGACTCACTGTCAACGAAATTAGGTCATGATTTTACAAAAAAGAAAAGTTTAATGGTCATCTTGAACAATTTAGCAGACACGTTGCTTAATTGACATTCAAACAATGGGCAAATGACTCCTAGAAAATCATTGCTGAAGAAGAGCAAACAAACAAGTTCTGGGGTAGCTAAGACTTCAAAACAACCCTTATTTTTGCGTCGGTCAAGAAGCAGTGAAAATGTCAACAAAAGTCCCGGAGGGCGGGTGAAAACGGAGAGTGTGTTAGTGCGCATCTGGCGAAAATCTCACGCCAATGCTTCACGCCTTGAAAAGCCTGTTTTGAGAAAAAAATTGACTGTTCTGCAGTCTAGTTTTATGGATCCCGAACAGTGTCAAGCAATGAAAACTCCGGCAAGACAAGAACGAGGAGGAGTGCTTGCCCGTAAACACCGCCGGCGCTAAGAGTAAAAAAATGTCGTGAGACTAAAGTGGATACAAGTTGTACATTGAATGAAGTATCCTATTTCCTAGAGCAATCAGCTGAGCATTCAACCGATCAAAGTAGTCTGAAAGCCATAGGCAATTCTCACGAACTATATCAGCAAACTATATCTCTTGTATTGAGATACTACCTACAGAACCGACAATTAAATCACGTAGTGACTGTAGCCTCTCTTAGTTTCACAGGTGAATTTGAAAGAGACCGTTTTCGCGAAAGGGTACGGGTAATTTATCTACCAAAGACCGTTTCCACAGGAATACCAAGTTTGTCTTAATGTACCCCAACAGTTACAAGTACCAGGCTCAGTTGCGTGCAGTGGTGACCGTATATGTACTTGATCATAAACGCCGAGGCGTTTATCCAGTTTTTAGGGCTGATGCCGAGGGCAACATTTATTTAAAAACCACATGTCTTAAATCACTGACCGCAATTACAATAAATCATTTCTTAATGATATTATTATACTAAACAGAAAGCGTCAAAAGTTAGCTAGTCTCTGAGATAGAATCGTAACTGTCTCACTGGATGGTACATATTTGAAAGTTGTTCCGAGTTTTTTTATGATCCTGCCATAAACACTGCGTTCCTGTGATTGGGTGCAGCGTTTACTGGCAATTTATAATTAGTCTCCACTTGCCACGTTAAATCGACGATAGTACGGCGCTTAATGGAGTATAAAAGGTATATGAATTTATCAAGCTTTTTCGACAAGATACTTAAAACTGACAGGGTTGCATGACTTTTAAAAACTATTGCTCTCCGATATACGTCAAGTGAGAGAGTTTGTTCATCTCCCGTGACCCCCCCTAATAATCCCTGGTCTTAAACATCTTTGTAAGGGTTTTTAGGAAGGCTTTTAATCGGAGGGGTTGTATCCGTGGGGCCTTATATATAACCCATCCTCGGAGACCCAGGAGCAGATAAAGGGGGCGAGGAGAAGTCTAAACGGGCGGAAAAATATATATGGAACGAGGAAAAGTAAAGAACGGCGAGAGGAGCCCCTGGGGACAATGTCTCACCAGACCAGTTCCAAACGATCGCCGCCGTTCTGGCTTCTGATTGGTGCCAGAAAAACAGAAAAACACAAGTTTTCTGGCACCAATCAGAAGCCAGAACGGCGGCGACCGTTTGGAACTGGTCTGGTAAGACATTGTCCCAAGGGGCTCTTCTCGCCGTTCTTTACTTTTCGTCGTGCCATATTT